CAGCCACTATTAGAGAATAGCAAAAAGTTCAAGAGTCCAGTCCAGTATCAGTATCACAGTATCAGTATCGCAGTATCTGTATCTGCAACTGACTGCAACACTGCATGCAACCTCACCTGCCTGAGTGACTTGACTTACCATGACCGGGACCCAAGTAGAGTGGAAGCAGTGGAAGGGCCGAGGGGAGTTGCATAATAGAGATGTCAAATTGCTTTGTCTGCAACAATGAACGAGCCTCCGAAGCCTCTGGATCCGAATTCTTTTGAACTCGGCTAACTTCTTCTACCGCCTGCACTGCAGAACAACTTGATCATTCCGAATTCTGAATAGTCATTCTAAATTGTTTCAATTATGAAACAATGATGACTCTTACAATGATTCATGAAATGAAACATGAATAAAAAATCAATAAAAATCAATAAAATAATAAGCAAGCAGCAAGCAAATCATCTGTAATCCATCTATGTCTACGTCACGTCTATCAAACCGTCTATCACCGTCTTCCGTCTACCGTCTACTGTCTACTGTCATATCAGCACCTCGTCTATCGAATCATCCATGATCTACCACACTTACCACACTACTTCTACTCGATACTCGATACTCGATAATGAAGAATCAGTGTCAGCGAGAATTCAATTGTTCAGTTCAATTCTCAATTCATCATTTAACTATATTATTCATCTATCACCCGGAGCCCACCGCGAACCTCCAAGGGATCAATCACTGACTGTGGCTGCTGTGGCTCACTTGATGTCTCCACAGCTGCCTGTCGGGACTCAGTGCAGTATGCAGCTGTATGTATGTATGAATGAATGAATGAATGTATGTATGTAATGTATGTATGTATGTATGTATGTATGTAAGTAAGTATGTACAGTATGTATGTATGTATGTACTGTACTGTACTGTACTGTACTGTACTGTACTGTACTGTACTGTATGTATGTATGTACGTATGGCTCAGTCATGATAAGTGGTAGTGACGTGGTGATAAGTGAGAAAGTGATACAGTGATACACAGTATACAGGTGGGCATTATATAATAATAATTATACTTATAAATAATAAATATAATTTAATATAATATAATAATATAACTAAAACATTTGATAATTTGATTTTTATTTATAATTTATCTTGTCTGATTGTCTGATTACCTGAAAATGCACAGTGGCAGGAAGCAGCATTGCCTCTGCCGCCAATGATTTTGTGGATGCACTGGTGGCCTGTGGGCGTCACTTCCATTCTCAGCCAGTTACTGATGGTAAAAAAGCAGTAGGCAGTGCCAGTCAGCAGTCAGCCACTATTAGAGAATAGCAAAAAGTTCAAGAGTCCAGTCCAGTATCAGTATCACAGTATCAGTATCGCAGTATCTGTATCTGCAACTGACTGCAACACTGCATGCAACCTCACCTGCCTGAGTGACTTGACTTACCATGACCGGGACCCAAGTAGAGTGGAAGCAGTGGAAGGGCCGAGGGGAGTTGCATAATAGAGATGTCAAATTGCTTTGTCTGCAACAATGAACGAGCCTCCGAAGCCTCTGGATCAGAATTCTTTTGAACTCGGCTAACTTCTTCTACCGCCTGCACTGCAGAACAACTTGATCATTCTGAATCAAATTCTAAATTTCAATCATGAAACAATGAAATCAATAAGCAAGCAAATCACCTGTCATCCATCTATGATATGTCCTGTCGTCACGTCTATCAAATCAAACCAAACCGTCTATCAATCACTGTCTACCGTCTACTGTCATATCGGCACCTCGTCTATCGAATCATCCATGATCTACCTCACTTACCACACTACTGCTACTCCATACTCGATACTCGATAATGAAGAATCAGTGTCAGCGAGAATTCAATTGTTCAGTTCAATTCTCAATTCATCATTTAATTATTCATCTATCACCCGGAGCCCACCGCGAACCTCCAAGGGATCAATCACTGACTGTGGCTGCTGTGGCTCACTGTATGTCTCCACAGCTACCTGTCAGGACTCTGTATATATGTTTATGTTTATGTGCTGTGTATGTATTATGTATGCTGTATGTATGTAACTAACTGTAAATGTGTGTATGTATGTATGACTCAGTGAACCCCCCCTCAGTATGTATCTGAGTACTGTATCTGTATGTTAGGGTTGAGTGTGAAGCGCAAACTGATTGAAAAACAAATCTTAATCTGACAGTCACCTTACATGTTGCATGGCATGCGGCTGGCGGCATGTATGACTGCTATGCAATGGCTCCCACTACCTCCATGTCTAAAACTTCAAAAACATAAGCAGTGTCAGCAGCAACACCTCCTGCACTGACCCTTGAATTTGAAGACTGGCGTCGGCGTCTTCTTTTGCCACCGCCTGGAAGCAACCAGACCGCGGGTTGCCGATCAGTTAGTCAGGCAGGCAGGCAGTAGTAGTCTCAAGTTGTCTCAAGTTTGAAGCACCAATTTGAACATATCGACCGTATCATATCATTAATAAATAATAAATAAATATCATGACATGAATCATGACTGACATAAAATTTGTAATCAATAAATCAATGTCGTCAGTCAATACCTGTCATATCCTCTCTCTAGCCTACAACTCTATAACTATGAGTCTATGAGACTATGAGTCTGACAGCTGACATGTTGAAAAAAAGTTAATTGAAAGTTAATTGTAACAATTGAACAAATTGTAACTTGTAATAACTGACATCACCGCAACGTAAGTTCGAATAAGTCAGTCAGTCAGATTCAGATACAGAAGGCAGAGAGTCTCCAGAAATTAACAGCACCAAAATCGGGAGAGCGCGGGGAAAGAAGCGGCCACGGGCGCAAGCAAACAAGCAAGCCGCAAGAGGGAGAAGGAGCGGGAAGCAAGCCCAAACAACAAGCCCTACCCTACACTGATCCAAAACCAGAGACCAGCAAGCAACCAAAGCAGAGCAGGCCGGAAAGACCGATAAGCCAAAAACCACGACCAGCCCCACCACCACTCCAGAATGCCAAGGTCCAAAAAACAACATGCAGCAATGCAGCATGCAGCATGCCGCATGCCTAAATGCATCCTTGCCTTGACAGCTCTGCTGCAGACATTGGTTGCATCTGCGGCTTCTTCAATTACCTTTTGGAATCCAACCCAGTCACGGCACACCAATTAGTCAAGGAATCCAATCGACAGTCTTGGCAGTCTTGGGTTTTGAATTCGAATTTGACTCAAAAGGGCCTCCAAAGGGTCCGTCACCGTAGGTGGCGCATCTTCAGGAACCACACTAGCAGATGCACCCATTGCATTGAGATACTCACATCAGGAGGTAGGCTACAATGGATCACACGATGAATCAGAATCAGAATTTGTATGGAAGCTGTAATTTGTTGAAGAAATGCGACCAGAAATGCAGTACTCAGTACTCAGTACTGTAGTACTGTAGTACTGTAGTAATACAGTAAGTAAATACAGCATCAGCAGCATCAATATCATTTGGTATTTGGAATTTGATATTTTCTTTGCAATGTTTGAAAATGTACAATCCCACAATGCCACAATTTCTCATAGACTCATAATTTCATAATTCATAATTGTGTTGAGTTGAGCTGCTGACGGCTTGATCGGAGAGAGGCAGTGACTTTGTGACTTTAAACTTGAATGGTCCGGTCCACCCAAACAAATATGGATTAATTATTGTTATTATGATACAGTAGTGATACAGATTTTGTTCTGCCAAGTAAGTGATTGTCTTTGTCTTAGAATCCAAGAATCACAAGAGCTCAGGGCAACTGACAACTTGAATTTGAATGGTTGCACAAATGCAATTGCCTGAGGAGCGCCAACGCGAGCCAACACTTTGTTTTCACACCTTGTCTATCTATCTCTGTCACTTGTCCTTCATCGATTGTCTATGGATCACGAGACTCAAACTTGGTGGCGCATGCCACCAGTGCAGACAAGCAAAGAGACCCGCTTCTGTGCCATGCATGAAGGCCTGCAAGAGACTGGCAGTGGTCGCATCCCAGTCAATCTCAACAAAGCCTGACAAATTAAATTGTTGACACTACACTCGAAGCCTGAATAATGTGGAAGTATGATGGAGCGGCAAAGACGGAACCAAATCTTGGAAAGGTGTGTGTGTTGTCATACAATACATAATTTCATATACAAGTAGTTACAAGTTACAAGTTACAAGTTACAGTCACAGTTACATGGTGCGGAGTGCAGAATACAGCAGTAACAGTAATATCATATACTAAATTCCAGCCGGAAAAATCACAAAATATTTGAATGAATTTGATTCCGCTTCTGCCGCTGGCATGCTGATGCAAGGAATCCTTGCAAGATGGGCCACAGTCGTTGACTCGTGGCCATCGCCTTCTGATTTCGGAAATTGAACTCTGAATGGAACCCACTAAGACTCAAAGAGCGAAACTCATGATTCAGAATTCATGAGAATATGAGTAGAGTCGTCGAGTTGTTATGATTTATAATTTATGATATATGATATATGATATATGATATATGATTCTATGAAATTCTATGATTTATGATTTAGATTTTTAATATATGATTATATGATTGATGAGTTAGCAGTTAGCGTACTGGTTTGTTAGTTTGACTCATGACAAGTCGTTTGCATGAGAAGTCGACCCAACAGTAGTGGACTTTGATCAGCATTAAAGAAAAAAATCCAAGTTCCGCAGGAGCCAAAGAAGGGTCTGCCAGCTGCAACTCAGCTGCTCAATCAGAGTATTACTGCAATAACTGCAATATCATCTTTCATTCAGATTCGATTCAGTGTCTATAGTACTGGCTGTACTGACCGACAACCTGATCAATTGCCCTACCACTGGAACTTGAAAGCTGTGGCTCCCCGACATGGTACAGAAAATGCACCACATTGCCACAACAGGCACCAGTGGCACCAGCAATTGAACACATGTCACATGACAATGATCTCGGAGGCAATGACTTCAAGACTTCTTCAAGTCTTGAATTGCACTACGCAAAGCTGCTGGCAAAGCTTCCAATGTCAATTCCCTCTTCGTGAGCTTTGTCATATAGTTGTCGACGTCGTCATGCTTCTTGTCTTTCACAAGAATCAAGCCTGAAGCAGGCATGGACAATGGCAATGTGACAATCAAAATAGCAATTCCGCATTAGTCGGCATGAGTCAACACAGTAGCAGCAGTAACTTGATGATGAGATGATGATATAATTATGATATATATTAATATAATGATATGATATCATTTCATTTTTTGGGCCCAAAATCCAAAACTTAAAACCAATTTTGTGCTAAACATAGTAACAGTGTAACAATTAACAGTGTAACAGCGCAACATGAACGCAACAATACAGTGCTGCAATGCTGATGCTGATATTGAAAATTACTGCCATTACTACTGCCTAATTACCTGCCCTGCCTATGTAATGTATGATGTATGCTTGGCTTAGCTGTTTACCAAAATATTCTCATCTACTACTATGGCTGGACTGGACTATGACTCGACTCTACAAGTCTATGATCAGTCTTTGACTAGACTCTGACTATGACTCTATGACTCTGACTAAGCTAGACTGGCTCGGCTAGACTCTCTACAGACTACGGACTACAGAGTACTACAGACTACAGTACATAAGCCATCCCAAATCCACAGCAACATACTGACAAGGCACCAGACTGACACGCCAAAATCACCTTTGCTGCACGAGACAAACAGCTGGCTTCCTCGACCAGCTTATTCTGCATGTCCGTGACATTTGGGACAGCTGCTTTGTTCCAATCTGCAACCTTGTTTTCCAACTCCTTGAATGCCATTCCCAAACCGCTCATTTCACTTTCTGGGCCACTCAACAGCTGCATCATCCTCTCAACTGAACAAGCCCCCAACTGGTCAAGCAACGATCCCTTCTCTCCGATCAGTTGATGCATTGCAACAACAGCTTGATGCAATTCTCCTGCAGCACCATCAGACACGGGGTCCCACTCACTGTTTGCTTTCCTTAGCAGCAGGTTGATGGACTCACTGATCTCTGAGTCACCAAGATTCAGCCAAGGCTTGATCTTAAACACCACATTGCAAATGCTGCTGTTCTCATCGAGCGCATTCAAGACAGCCAACATGGCCCTTGCAATACCATTTGCACGGGTCACAAGGGCATCCCTCAGTGTCAACAAGATTTCAAAACTACAACACAACTTGCACATAGACAGTGACATAACATTAAATTATATAACATATAGATGATATAGACATAGACAGCATGATAATAAGATATCATTGATATCATTCCATATATGAATTAAATTGTATGAATTTGAATTTGAATCATCTAATTTATCATATTATCATCATCATTGTGAATTGAATCAGAATCATATCATATTAATATTTTCATTGCATTGTTTTAAAATCAACCGTTCAACCAATCATGAATCGAAAGCAGACTCAGACTGCCAAGACTGATTCAGATCAAATCAAATCATGTCACAGTTGACTTTTGACTTTGACCATCAACAACTGTGATGATGCTGATGCTTGTTGCTGCAAAGTAACAGAACTGCCTTGCTAGCCGAAAGGATTTCGCTGCTGGGACATCGGTGGGAATCCTTCACGGCATCCACCAGACCAAGGAAAGCAAGCTCATTGTTGAAAGGATGGATCAAGGACTCCTCTTTGATGGCATGCTGAAATTTGATGGCAGCAGCAAAGTCGGCGATGTAGATCAGAAAAGATCTTTGAGAAAATGGTAAGAAACTCACCAGCTTGGCGGCCTCTGCACCTGGAAGAACTTTTCCTGCAGTGGGAGGGGCAGTCATGTCCTTTCCCTTCACGAACTCAAGAATTTGAATCAAAGCATTTGGGATGTCGGTCTCGGCAATCTCACCAGACTCAGGCACATTGATTCTCTTCATTGTAGAAGACAAGCCCTTGATGATGTACTGCTCCAATCTTTGCGCGCTACAAAATGCTGTCCTCATGCAAGATGCCTTCAGTGAAGCATGTCGGCTTGCACCACCTGCTGGCAAGGAAGCACCAGCTTTCTGCAATTCCACGCAGTCCTCCACAAGTCCAAACAGTTTCAAATTTCAAACAGTAACTTAGTAACTTGGACTTGGAGCCATTAGCAATAAGCCCTGGCCTTAGCCCTAGGGCCCACCCTACATTTAAGAATCATAGAGTAACTTACTTACTGAACTAACTACTTACTAAATTGTACTGTACTGTATCCGTATACTGTATACTGTAGTACTACTGTACTGTACTGTATACTGTATACTGTATACTGACATTCTGTGACTGTGATGTGACATACTTCCTGACAAACATCGGCATGGCATGCTGCATACTTCATAGGAGGACAAGAACAAGCTAGTCAAGTCTAGTCTGACAGTCTGGCTAGTCTTGTCACAGTGTCATTATCATTTCTCATTGTGTCTGGCTGCCAGGGTGTCTGACTATTCCCATCCTGTCCTGAAGCATGATCACCACCTTCTGAAAATCCAAAGCATCTCCATCAGTGAAATTCATGTCGCCCTCGTTCTTGGAGACTTTATCCACCAGCTCAACAGCGACCCTCCCCTTCTCGTCAGCTTCTTGGTCAAGTTTTGAGTTCACAACAAGTTGGTGGCCCTCGTTGAGCAATTTCTTGAAGTGGGTTGTAACTGATACACGTGCTACTGGCCGATGGTAATTCAGAAGAGTCTTGGATGTCAATTTCTTTGAAGCACTTTCCAAGACTTGTTCAAGTTTTGGCATCATGGCGGCAGATGGTGAATTTGATGCGTATGCTAAGTACTGCAAGTCTGTCAAAGCATCAGCAAGTGCCGGTGACAGCACGGCCACTTCCCAATAATTCAGTCCTTGTGGCAAGAAAGCTTGCAAGGCTGCAAGGGTTGCCTCATACGGGTGAGCCTGGGAAAAGATGCGAAGAACCACCTGGAGCACCCACTTGCTCTGCAACTTCAAGACCTGCATAGACGGCATGGAACACAAATGCAAAAACAGAAACATCAGTGACAGTGTGTCAGTGATCAGTGATCAGTGTGTGAACGCTTTACAGTTACTGACCTTGAGGTTCATTAATTAATTTAAATTTATATTTCATGACCTGTGACCTGTGACGGCTACTGACAGGCAACAAAGATGTCGAATGTAGTAAGTCTGATTCTGGTCTGATTCTGATCTAATCAAATCTGAATCATGCTAGTCCAGTCGTCCGTCAGTCTCAAGTCTAGTCTAGTCTAAGTCTAAGTCTAATCAAATCAAATTTAATCTAATTTATAAATAAAATCAGTTAAGTAAGTTCAGTCCAGTTTAACAGGGTTTAGTTTAACTGTTTAACTGTAGTTAATCAATCTGCTGTTAATCTGTTTCTGTTTAACTGTTTAACTTAACTGTTTAACTGTTTACAGTTTTGCCTTTAGCAGTTTAGCGTTTAGCAGGGTACAAAGCCAAGTACAAATGTTCGTTGGTTATTTCATGATTCAGATTCATCACTACATATTGTAACACCGTATGCCGTATGCTTGCCTGCATGGCATCTGACATGAATCCCGGCCTTCTCCGAATGAAGTTGTGTTGACAAGGAGTTCGGGCAGAAGAAATAGAAGTCAGATATGCTTCCATACCTTTCGGTGTGCATCACTGCATCACTGGCAACATTGGCAGTTTGGAAGGAGCTGGGTGGTCACGAAGTGATGGTCGATATATCAATCAGTAAGGAAGTGTAAGATTAACAATAATGATCACTGCATGATCACAGTACTTAGCACTTACACCATCACTTACATAACAGCTACTTTACTGACTAGACAATACTTCTCCTATAATGACTGACTGGTAGCTATAGCCATAGCCATAGCCCATAAGACAGAATCATATTGTCAAATTGTCAAATCAAAAATTATCATATCGAATCAAATCATATCACATAGTCTCATAGTTTATACATATCCACATCAACATTATTATGAATTGAATGAATTCTACATAGAATTATATTATATATTATATTATATAAATTATATAATATATAATATATATATATATTAAATTATATATATGAATCATATCATATGTGATGGCTGAACGGGTTCAGACAGAGACAAGCTGCTGGTAGTCATCTCTGGGACGGTCCTCTTCTGGCTCATCATCATGGCACAATGGAAAGAACAAGCGGCCGCAAAGCTTCGATGCAGCTGCAGCATCAAGCACTGCAGACTCTTCAACCAGTGGCTTGTTCATTGCGGTCACCCAGGCCTTGCAATGTGCACACCGCAATACAGTGACATACACTGACTGACACTAGTCAAAAGTTCAAAATCAATTAAATATATGATAGCTCCGATCAATTACAGTTTTGGCAGTTTTGGTTTTGGTAATTATTCAGTCATGGCAATGAATCGGGTCCAGTAGTCGCTTTAGGCTTTAGTAGCCTATTAGCCTGGCCTATAGCCTATAGCCTATAGCCTATAGCCTATGTCGCAGACTCTATCTAGACTCTCTCACTCTCTCTATCATTACTCAAAGTCAAAGTGTCATTAGTCAGAGTCAGAGTCAGGGTCATTGTCCCAGCAGGCCTGAACCCAATGCATAGGAAAGCCAAGTGTGGCATCAACTACCAACTTTCTGGCGGCAGCCTGGATCTTCTTGATGTTCTGGGTCAAATTGTCGGCCGAAATCGATCCAGACTTGCCTGACATGATTGCCAGATCTTTCAGGTTCTTAACTGATTCGAAGAGTTCCTTCAGGCATGATGCTCTTGCACTCAAAGCTGGCTCCTCCTCAGTTGCAGAGGCAACTTCATATTCCAGCTTCTTGTCCAGCTTCGTGTTGATCTTTTGCATAGCCTTCACAGCATTCTTCAATTCGGTGTCTGTTGTCTTGCCACCTGATGATGACATAAGCCTCTCAAAGGTCCCAAGGTAAGGCTTGATCTTCATGACTTCAGCAGCCCATTTAGATTTCTGCACATCTTTCGTGAACGCACTGGGAGTTGCCAAAGGCTTTCCCACTTCACAGGAAGCATAGTCATCAGCCAGAAAGGCTTTACACAATGACCAAGTGGGCCTGGAAACATCCTCATTTTCCCCCTTGGCCTTGGTCTGAGCAGCAGCACGTCCAGGGGAAGCAACAGCCATAGATGGTGCCACAGCCACATGTGCCAATCTCGAAGGACCGGCATTCACCACAGACAGCGCACTTGCTGGCCTTGCCCCCGTCGCCAAATGTTGGGTCTTGCATGCAGCAACGGCGGCCTCGGAGTGACCAGCCGTTGGCTTCTTGCTTGTGTGCTCCTGCTCTTCTGTACTCTGGTGACTCAACTTTCGCTTCTTGTCACAACTTTCAGACATGGTACCAGCCGCAGCCTTCCTGTCATGCCCACTTGAAGAAGACTTACCGCCTGATTCACCTTGCTCAACATGTAGCTGCTGATCTTGATCACCTTGTGTCTCCATCGCCTGCATTAACATCAACTCCTCTTCCTCATCGATTTCATCATCACCAGCAGAAATGCCAGTGGCTCCCTTCTTCAATCTCTTCTTCTGCGTGTTGTCATCTGAATCACCATCACCATTTTCATTTTCATTGCTCTTCTTACCTGGCCAAGCCAAGCTGAAACAATCTGTATCTGTATGATGTGGAAACCATAAGAATGCAAGTTGGGAAAGTTACATCTTGAATTGTCACATCATAGACTAGAGTGGAGTCGTGACTTGAGTGACTAGAGGAAGGCTTGACCTGACTTGACTTGAGACTTGGCACAATTGATAATTAGGTAGTAAATTATAGCACTAAGTAAGTACTACTCAGCCAGCTGCCATACGAACTTTTTATCAATCTCAGCGGCGACATTGCTGCTGCATTGACTTCAACGGCAGGCATCTCACTGAATCTTCTTCATTTTCATTGCCTGCAACACACGCCGACCATGGCTGCGGGACTTGCTCTTCAACTTGGTCACCCGCGGCCACATCTGCTGCTGCTGCTTCTTCTTTGAAGCCAACGACATCACCATTGACTCTACAGTGTCCAACCGCTGGCTCAGCCGTCTCATCTCAGCTGCCACCCGCCTCAACTCAGCTGCAACATCCTTGGTCTCATTCAAGAAGAGGTTCAAGTATTGCTCAGTCCTCTGAGAAGCATCTGCCACAGCCTTCAATGTTGAACTGTTTGAGAGAACATGCGAGTACAATCTCACAGTCAAAGGTATGCGACTCACACCTCTAGAGTCAGACGATGATTCCACACCCTCCTCTTCGTCCTGCTGCAAATTGTCTCGGTCAACATCCATGAGACTCTCGGTCTCAGTGTCAACATCATTACGTTGTCCATCAGATGGTCCACGTTGCCCAAAACGCCACTCAAAAGAAGCAGCTGCATTATTTATTGACATGGCTCACACGAAGCACACCAGCAATGCGCCAGTACAAGAGAGCGTAAGGCACACAAACACAAACTGCAATCAATCAATCTATAATCCAGGCGGCTAGGCGGCGGTACAAGCAAAATTGTTGCTGAGAAAAAACAAATGCCAACATCAAGCCCAAAAAAAAGTCAATCAGTAGTCTGAGTCAGATTCAGATTAAGATTCAATTTCTTAGTCAGTCATCTCATCTCAGACAATTGGCTGACTTTCAGAGCTGGGCTGACTGAAGATTGGATTCTGAAGCCTAAGCCTAAGCCTAAACCGTAAACCTGTGACCTTGGACCTCTGTGAGTCTGTGAATGTTTGAGTTTGAGCAGTGTGAGTCAGTGACCATTTAATTTAATACAGATTCTTCACTGTTTGGCTCCGTTCTGCGCAGTTTCACTCCTACAACCCGGCCCACAAGCCTTCTTCAATCTCCAGCACCTTCTTCTTTGCATCCGCCATGCAAAGCCCAGAAGATGAATCAGGCTGCCCTTTCATCACATCATCCTTGTGCTCTTGGAAAGAGTCTTCCCTTGGCTAGCCGCTGTTGACATATACTACTGTCTCTGTCTGGTGATGTAGTAAACTGTGAACTCTCATCATGGAATGTATTCAGTGTAGAGCACACCGTCTACAAAGCTTACTGTTACTGTCCTACAGTGCTACAGTGCTAAATCATGCTCTGCTCAATAAGTTAGTGAATGACCAAAAAGTAGTGCAATGATTGCAATGTAATTGGTCACCGTCAAGGCCAAGGTATCATGTATCGGTATCTGTATCATTGTATCATTGTTCATTATCATTTATCATTGTCATTATTTAATCATGAGTCATGAGTCAGTGCAGTAGTATCAACAGTAACAGTGACAGTAACAGTATCAGTGCAGTGATTATCATTGAATGTAAACCATCACCCTGGACTGTCCCACAGGTTGTGTGTGTGTGAGAATCACCCGTGTGTGACTTTGTGAGCCATATATGAATCTGAATATGGCTGTCGTGACCAAAAATCTGTTAATGTAAGACTGTAAGACTACTCTAAGAAGACTGTAAGAGTAAGACTCTAAGTCTAAGACTAGCTGACTAGCTGCTAGATCACTAGCTTTGTTCAGATAAGGTGCAACTGGTTCTTCCGCAAGGCATCGGCATCATCATCCACGATGGAATTTTCTGAAAGGGATTGTACGTTTTCAAGGGCACCACTCCAATATCCCTTCTTCAACTTTGGAATAAAGACTGCCGGCATCTTTTTGCCCGTCGTCGGGCAAACCGTGGTGGTGACTCTATGGCCCATGCCATTGCTTTCGATGTCACCAAAATCCTCAACGGGCCCCAATCGGAGTATCGATATATATTATATTATAGACAGTCAGTCGAGTCATATAATATTATATTTATGATTTTTATAATATTATATTATATTAAATAAATTATATATATTATATAATATAATAATTAATGTAATATGATATGATATAATTTAATAATAAGTACTGTCTAAGTCTAAGTCGAGTCTAATAGAACAGCAAACAGTGAACGGCAAACGGGAACAAATGAATCAATGAACTGAAAGTCAAGTACAGTACAGTCCAGTCCAGTCAAGTAAGTCACGATGATTCTTAACTGTGACCGTGACTGTGTGACTGTGACTCAGACTCATGACTCCTTACTCATTACTTATAACTTATTACTTACTACTTACTGTCACCTCGCAATTTTTCAATCATCATCAAACGGGTCCTTCTTGTAGGTCTCCAAATCGATAAATGTCCCTTTGATTTTGTTCGAGATGTTGATCTGGGTCGACTTCACGATGGTCCTGTTCCTCTTCTGGACCCTGGCTCTTCCAGTGTTGATCTTGTCCCATACTTCATCCAGGTATACGGAGCGAACTCAGATTCTCATGAGAGATCAGGTAGGTCGACTACAACAAGCATTAGTTAAAAAACTCTATGACTTTGACTTTGACAGCTTTGACATGACATGACTGCAAAGTAAAGCACAGTCTAAATTCGAAAGTTCAAAAGACTTTGAATTTGACATTTCAGATTTCAAATTCTAATTCTAATTTTAATTCTCAGTGATGTACATATCATATATGTAATATGTACATGATGACTGTACATGTGTCTCTGTGACTGTGACTGTGTGTGTGACTCCTATGGCCTATGGCCTATGTCATGTCTGACTCTGACTGTCTGTTACATTTACTTTGAAGGTCAGTGTCAGTGTAGTGTAGATTGTAGATTGTAGATGGTCTTTAATTTATACCTTTGCATCTGCCTGAGCCTCTACCTAGCTGAGACTTCGACCACTTGCAAATTCATCTCTGAACTCTGTATTGTCCAGCTTCTGATTCAGCTCCTCTGTCCTCATCTTTGGCCAACCACGACGCCCACAGTCAGCACACACTCGGCAGAAGAAGCCTGTGGTTGGATTGGAAAACAACTATGCCACTGCCACAAACTGACTGCAAAAGTGACTATGACTCTGACTATGCTGCATGCTGAGTAAAAAGTTATCATGATTATGCTTAGTCATGAGTCGGGTCAGGATTCATATGATCAATATGCATATGAGTCATATGAGTCATATGAGTCAGTCATATGTCATATGTGTCTGACAACCGGTTTTCACTCGATCAGTTGCAAGTTATAAGTTATAAGTTATTAAGTTAGAAGACTGACAGTTAGTTAGTTAGTTTGTTTGTTTGTTAGTTAGATAATAGTTAGAGTTAGAGACATATACTTTTCTAAATGAATTCTCACAGTTTCATTGCCTAACACTTGAATGCCCTGCCTGTGGGCTGTTCAAAGTCGATTCCCATCTCAATCATTTTCTTGGTCAGCTTGTAGCGGCCACTTGCCCACCTGAGAACAAAACTGTTCTGTGTGTGTGTATTTGTGCTGTGTTCTATCTATAATTTAATAAAATATAATATAATTGCTGTTGAATGCAATAAGTAAGTCAATAAGTAATACAATACAGCACAACGAATCATGTAATTAATTGAATTAATAATCATTGTTCAAAATCATAATCGTGAATCATAAGTATGAAAATTCGAATTGTACATTGCTGCACGAAATCAGTCAGTCAGTTCAGTCCACAGTTCACTGATCTGATTAGTCAATGTGCATGAATCAAGCCAAGGCACTCTACAGTATCCCCCTTCACAAATGGATCTTCGTCATGTGTGGTGCTACCGCAACCCTTGCACTTGAGGCAAAGCAACGGACGCTTGCGATGCTTTCGGCCCAGCAATGTACGGATACCTGCTGGTGTGGTGGGCATTTGCATGAGAGAATTGGCAGCAACATGCTGACCTTCCGGAGCTTGATCATCCTCTCCCCTAAGATCACCAGCATCACTCATGTCAGGAACTTCGGATGGAGGAATTGCATCCATTGGGTCAGCATCAGAAGAAGCCATCCCTCTGAATATCAAATTCGTGACAATGCAAAGTCAAAGAAGCAATGGTCGAAGGCTTCGACCTCAAATAGAAACAAAATCATTACTACAAAAAAATATTCATCAAGAACAGCTGTGTGGCATGAGCTGCATCATCAGTGTCACTGTCAGGTGGCGAAATATGTTATAATCACATTTGCAATTTCACTTGCAGACACTGGAACCAATATTGCATAGCCTATGCACATACTGTATTAAAAACAAAAAACATTAGTTTGTGTTTGTTTTAAACAAAAGCAAAAACTACAAAATCGTTAAATTTGCTGAAAACAGCTGTTGCACTATGTGGCACTATGTGGCACTATGTGGCACTATCAAAAAAAGCAAAAAATAATGAAATCATTAATTTGGATGAAAACGGCTGTGGCACTATGTGGCACTATGTGGCACTATGTGGCACTATCAAAAAAGCAAAAAACACAAAAAAACTCAAAATTTAATGAAAACAGTTGTGGCACTATGTGGCACTATGTGGCACTATCAAAAACCTTCGTTTTTTGTAACTTTTGAGTGTGGCACTATGTGGCACTATGTGGCACTATCAAAAAACCTAAAAAAACAAGGAAATCACAATTTTCATGAAAACAGCTGTGGCACTATGTGGCACTATGTGGCACTATCAAAAAGCTTCATTTTTGCAACTTTTGAGCGTGGCACTATGTGGCACTATGTGGCACTATCAAAAAAGCTAAAAAACTACAAAATTATAATTTTCAATGAAAACAGCTGTGGCACTATGTGGCACTATGTGGCACTATGTGGCACTATCAAAAAAGCAAAAAAACGTTAAAATCATTAATTTTGATGAAAACAGTTGTGGCACTATGTGGCACTATGTGGCACTATGTGGCACTATCAAAAAAGCAAAAAAACACAAAAAAACACAAAATTTAATGAAAACAGTTGTGGCACTATGTGGCACTATGTGGCACTATCAAAAAAGCAAAAAAAACACAAAAAACACAAAATTTAATGAAAACAGTTGTGGCACTATGTGGCACTATGTGGCACTATGTGGCACTATCAAAAACCTTGATTTTTGCAACTTTTGAGTGTGGCACTATGTGGCACTATGTGGCACTATCGAAAAAAAAACTAAAAAAACAACAAAATCACAATTTTCATGAAAACAGCTGTGGCACTATGTGGCACTATGTGGCACTATGTGGCACTATCAAAAAGCTTATTTTTTGCAGTTTTTGAGTGTGGCACTATGTGGCACTATCAAAAAAACTAAAAAAACAACAAAATCACAATTTTCATGAAAACAGTTGTGGCACTATGTGGCACTATGTGGCACTATCAAAAAAATGCTAAAAATACCAAAATCGCAATTTTCCATGAAAACAGCTGTGGCACTATGTGGCACTATGTGGCACTATCAAAAAGCTTCATTTTTGTAACTTTTGAGCATGGCACTATGTGGCACTATGTGGCACTATGTGGCAGTATCAAAAAAGCTAAAAAACACCAAAATCACCAATCTTGATTGATGAACAGAATTGTAATAA